CCCCAAATGGGAGATACTATGTTTCAAAGTAAAAAGCTTAAAACACCTAGAGCTCACCTCCCTAACTAACGATCCCAAAACCCCCTTTTTTCTTATGGAGAGATGTCTACATATAAATATAGATTACGGCCGCTGCCCGGGGGGCGCCGGGGCACACCTGGAGCCGATGCTGGGTGTAGCAGTATGCGATCCACCGGCGACGAGGGGTTGAACAGGCGGGCCCCTGTCAAACAATACACTACAGCCGATCAAGAAACTACTGGTACCGATAATGACGACGATGAATCTTTATTACCATCCATAACAACCACTTACTGTCAATCAGTCATCCACAACATCAAGCGTAGGTAGTGATTTTACTGTGGATGTTGCACAAGAGGCAAATAGTAATGCTGTTCAAACTGTGCCCACCACGAGTAAGCCTTATAAACGTAGGAAATGGACTGATGAAATGAATGAGTTTATCCTACGTACATATTTACTTGTCACCAATCTAGATACAGATACAAAAGACTACCTCACACCCCTACACACAAAATTCATGGAAAAGTTCCCCGAAATAGAAGTAACTCGCCAACGCCTAGGTGATCAAAGAAGATCTATAATACGGAATAAACTGCTACCTGAAAATAAAATTAAACAAATACATAATGATGCTGAACAAGAACTTCGTAATTTAAACATAAACTATCCACAAACAAGCAGCCACACTATCACTACAACACAAAATACTCGGATGAAATGGAGTAATAATCATAACGAGGCAATAATACGGATTTATTTCCGCGTAACAAAATTAGAATCGAACAAGACAGGATATAGAAAACTACTACACAAAGAATTCATTAGTCAATTCCCCCACCTTACACAAATATCTGAGCAAAGAATAGCAGACCAAAGACGTGTTATTGTTAACAATAAGTTAATTTCAGAGGATAGACTTTTATTAATAAAACAAGAAGTGGCCACAGAGCTAGATTTATCACCGACAATAGAAGAAAATATTAACCACAATAATATACAACAGACACAAACACAAGATAATGAAAATGAATTCTTACAAACAATAGCCTCGAATTATTTTCAAGAAAATCCATCAAACCCTGATACACAATCTAATCCTGTACAAACAAACTCAGAAATAGATGATACATTCCAAATGGCACTAGAATACTTTGCTAATCTTTATCCCACTAACAGACCCTATATACCTAAACAAAGAGCAACAAAAAAACTAGCTACTACAATTAATTATATAAACAATATACTATTGCCAAAATACATAAATAATGATACTAATTTTGATAAACTACACGGAATAATCTACTGTTCAGCATGGACAGCGGCAAAAATAAATGGTACAAAATTAAGAATCCCACCGATCGATACATTACGAACAAGACAAAATTCATCAAAACCGCAATGGCAAAAAAGATTAGAAAATAAAATGGAAGATCTGAGGGTAAAAATTAGTAGATTGACACAATACATAAATGGAAATAGAAACAGAAAACTTACAAAACATGTAAAAAAGATTCTAGTACAATATCATATACATTCTATTCATGAAGAACCTAACACACAACTGACGCACTTTTTAGACACACTTAAACAAAAATTAACGGTAGTAGCAAACCGTTTACGTAGATATAAAAACTGTACAAAACGTAAATTACAAAATATTCAATTTATTAACAATGAGAAACAATTTTACCGTACAATCAACAAAACTATATCAAACAATGAAAATAATATACAAACCGAAGTATTTCCTACACCATCCCCGGAAGAATTGCAAAACTTTTGGGCAGGTATATGGTCGAACCCAACCTCTCATAATAATGAAGCACTATGGATAAAGACTGAACAACTAAAATATGAACATATAATACCGATGGAGTATGACTCTATTTCATTTGAATTGTTTCATGAGGTAATCAACAAACTTCATAATTGGAAAGCAACAGGCACAGATCATATTCATAATTATTGGTACAAGAAATTAACCGTGACTCACATACTTCTCCACAAACACATCAATAATTTCATTCAAAATCCGGATACTATTCCTAAATTTATTACTGAAGGATGTACGTACTTATTACCTAAAGATCTTAATGATACCACAAACCCAGCAAAATATCGACCTATTACCTGCTTACAGACTATTTACAAAATAATCACATCGTGTATAACCCGAATTATTTATAATTATACAGAAAGTAATGACATACTAGCTGAACAACAAAAAGGATGCAGAAAAGCAAGCCAGGGTTGTAAAGAACAGTAATTGATTCTGTGATCCTTGAACAAGTTCATAAGTCAGCTCTTTTTACAATGTATGTAGATTATAAAAAAGCATATGATACTGTGGCTGCTTAAAATCCTAGATATTTATAAAGTTCACCCGACTATCACAAAATTCTTACAAACAATTATGCAAAATTGGACAACGACCTTAAGCATAAATTCCTCAAATTTAACAACACGTACAGACTCGATTAAAATAGAAAGAGGCATTTTTCAAGGTGATGCATTAAGCCCATTATGGTTTTGCCTTGCCTTGAACCCTTTATCTAATATCCTTAATTCATCTAATACTGGTTATAAATTGAAATATAATATAGATATAGATGGACAGAGTGAGGAAAAATAAGTTGCTTTAAGTCATCTTATGTATATGGATGACATTAAATTATATGGTTGTTCAGAAAATGAATTAAAAAACTTGGCTAGTTTAACTGAACATTTCTCAAAGGACATTAAAATGGAATTTGGTATTGATAAATGCAGAATTAACTCTGTCAAGGCAGGGCAAAATCATCAGCATTATTATCAAACGGAGACAGGTGATACAATTAACCCTTTAGACGAAAATGAAACCTATAAATATCTAGGATACAATCAATCTAAACATATACATCAAAAAAATATAAAGAATTCGTTGTCTCTTAAATTCAAACATAGATTAAACATTATACTTAAAACACAATTAAATTCACGTAATACAATAAAAGGTATAAATTCCTATGCAATTCCTATCCTAACATATTCATTTGGTATTATACATTGGACAAAAACAGATCTTAAATCTCTTCAACGCAACATTAGTACAACAATGACGAAACATAGAAAACACCATCCGCGATCATGTATTCAAAGACTGACACTACCCCGCAAAAATGGAGGCAGAGGATTACTAGATATTATTAACCTACATAACAAGCAAATTACCCTACTTAGAAAATACTTTCATAAAAAAGAACTTATATCTGATTTACACAACGCTATAGTACAAAATGACTGTAAGCTAACCCCGTTAAATTTGCAAGATCACACAACACAAAATAATGAAAAGCAAACAGACATGCAAACAAAAATAGAAGAGTGGCGTGATAAATCCCTCCATGGGAGACATTACAGCGATTTATGCCAACCTAACGTCGATAAAGTAGCGTCGAATGAATGGCTAAATCGTGGGGTTCTTTTCCCGGAAACGGAGGGATTTATGATTGCCATACAAGACCAAGTGATCGAAACTCGAAATTACCAAAAATTCATTATAAAACAAAATTTAGTGACAGATTTATGCAGACGATGTAACAGTAATTCGGAGACCATACAGCATATTACAGGAGCTTGTAAATCCATAGTACAGACCGATTACAAATATAGACATGACCAGGTTGCCAACATTATTCACCAAAAATTAGCTCAGAAATACAAACTTATACCAGAAACATACACACCCTACTATAAATATACCCCTGATGTAATAGTTGAAAACAATACACACAAATTATACTATGACCGTGCTATCTTGACAGATAAAACTACACATTATAATAGACCTGATATTACCCTCCTAGATAAAATTAATCGCAAAGCATATATTATCGATATTGCAGTCCCAAATACACACAATGTACAGAACACTATAGCTGAGAAACTGGCAAAATATACAGATCTAAAGGACATAACCCGCATGTGGCGTTTACAATCCGCAACCATAGTTCCAATAGTCCTATCTACTACAGGAGTAATCCCGAATCAGCTACACTTATCACTTAGAACACTTGACCTTCCGTGCTACACTTACATCGAATTGCAGAAGTCTATAATACTAAACACCTGTTCCATTGTTCGGCGATTTTTAACATCTAATCAAAATTAATTATTTGTACAATCTACGAGATACTTGGCAGCCAGCCCGTACTCGTAGCAATAAAGCCAACTATACGTTGAGTAAAAAAAAAATCAAAATAATAATAATAATAATAATATGTATAGAAAGATCTCAATACATTGTAAATAGGTATATTTACAGTTCATTTACCTATATTACAATAGTAAATGTTGTAGTTTTATATCAAGGTAAGGAGCTGACATAGTCATCCAGCTATTGTTTACTATACATGAGGTAGTGACTCAGATGATTGTAATTCAAGGATTAAATTAGATGTCTGATATAAATGTCATATAAGTAACAAAGTCTATGAAATTTTTATTTCATTTTAGCAAAACATAAATGCAGAAGATAATCGCTAGTATCAATGCACTGGCCGACAGCCAAATATCGCTCAAATCACACCTAAACAGACCTTGAGTTAAGCAACAAACAAGGAAGTAGGTGTTGTAACTACATTACAATAAGAAGACCATAAGTGCCCTACACTGCCTTGATAGGTCCAAGTATCATGACGCACAGCAACTATTGTAATGTATAATATAACGTATCTAGTATATATATAATATCATAGTTTAAAACTGTCAAAGATATTATTTGCGGCATTTAGTTTTCGTTTGATTTCATTTAAAATTTATATTGGAATCTCATTGGTAGTAGATAAAATATAATTACATACAGTTCATTGTCAATTTAATAACAACCGTAAACGCCCGGAAATATCATTACAATGAAACTGGACTCATTTGAAAATAATATGACGAAAAAAAAAAGAAAAAGCGACAGATGATTCAAATATAGAAAAACTACTTACATTCTCACATCACCAGTGTATATTAACTTTTGTATCCGTAGTAAATTATACAATTATCTTTATGTACATTTTCAAAAACAAATCACCACGGAAATATTTCAATCTTTAGATTAATCGAACGTAACGTAGATATTAAATGACAGAAAACAACGGAATAGAAAAGACGTGTGGAATGGTGATAGATGCAATAATATAGTCTTGTTTGCTTTTATCTTCGATAGATGGCGCTATACGAAAACTAAACCATAGACAAAATGAAAAGTTTTATGTAAGACCTAAAAGTATTCTGTAAATAATCAAAATAAAAATTTTAGACTTCTCATAAATTAATTACTTAAAAGTTAGAATCTTTTATTACAGTACATTTAAAATGCTATAACATGAAAAAATTTATATAACTTGTAATTTTTTAATACTGGCAATTAACATTTTAAACTAATTTCCTTTCTCTTTAATATCTGAAATCTTTTAAAGATTTTATTTAGATAATCAGATCATTTATTTGTTTAATACTTCCAATATAACATTATATAATTATAAAAATAAGTTTATTTTCATACATACCATATTCAAAACTACAATTTAATTGGCCTTTTTTTTAATAAAATAAAAATGTTTTTAATAGGAATTATATGTACTTTATTCTTCTTTTTTAATATAATTTAGTTGTTTGGTTACTAATAATTTATATTTCAAATGTTGTTAACAATTATTTTAATATTTTTTTTATTGTGTAGAAATTCATTCGTTCGTTCATTAAAATGACATTTATTTAATATGTTTATTTATTTATTTATAATTTAAAGGTTTATAAGTATTGCATGGCAACAATTTAGTATCATTACGGTATTGGGTCTTGCAAAATGCCTTATAAATGTATTCGACATAAACGCCACCTAGCGGCTCATTGTATTGACCTCGAAACACAAAGATATAGTCTATCTCACTCCTACTTGTGTATTTAACGCAGACGAACGGTTCAATGACTCTGGCGACCGTTTCTATTTTCTCTCTGGTTCTGTCGTTGGAACGGGTCGCAAAGAAGGAGTCTTTGTTTGCGTTTCACGTTCGCAACGTACGGTATCATCTGCGACCGCGGCTCCATCATATCGTTACCGAGACGGAATGTGCCCGCATAAGTGGAAGCGTGGGTCTCGCTCCTCCCGGTCGATGTAAAATGTCGTGTAGTGTCCCAGAGTGGCGCCGTCGTCGAGTGCAAGTGCAGTGAGGTGCAGTGGTGTGTGCGAACGAGCGTGGGTCGGTACGGCCACGGCGAGCGAAGTGCGTGGAGGTGGCGGCGGCCGCACGGCCATGACCGGCGATATGCCTCTAGGGAGCGCGCACGCGTTCGGGCGCGCTTTGCTCCGGGATGGGGCGCTGCCGCCGCTCGAGCCAGGCCCGCCCGCTCCGCCGGCGAACAACGCGCAGCCGCCCGACAAGAGACCGCCGGCCGCGGCCGCCAGCCCCGAGCAGGTCATGAAGCTCTACATGAACAAACTCACTCCTTACGAACATCGCGAGATATTCGACTATCCTCAAGTGTACTTTATAGGCGCGAATGCTAAGAAACGGCCTGGACTCGTCGGGTTTCCGAACAATTGCGAGTACGATAACGAGCAAGGCTCCTATATCCACATACCGCACGACCACATAGCTTATAGATACGAAGTGCTCAAAGTAATAGGCAAGGGCAGCTTCGGCCAAGTAGTGAAAGCGTTCGACCACAAGAAGCGAGAAAATGTTGCGCTCAAGATGGTCCGGAACGAGAAGCGGTTCCACCGCCAGGCTCAAGAAGAGATCCGCATATTGGAACACCTCCGTGAGCAGGACAAGGACAACACGATGAATGTTATACACATGTTCGACTCTTTTACATTCAGAAATCATACGTGCATCACTTTCGAGCTACTCTCGATCAATTTGTACGAGCTGATAAAGAAGAACAAGTTCCAAGGGTTCTCGTTGCAGCTCGTTCGCAAGTTCTCACATAGTCTCCTCCAGTGCCTGCACGCCTTGAGCAAGTATCGGATCATACATTGCGACATGAAACCAGAGAATGTTTTGCTGAAGCAACAGGGACGCTCCGGAATTAAGGTCAGTACATACACACTACATTATAATTTTTCAAACAACACTACATTAAGTATAATTACTTTTACAATCTCATATCCCTTTGTCTCATCAACAAAAGCGGTACAAAATTTGAATAATAATTCGAATTTCGTAAATCATGTCGACTACATAAAATTAAAGGTCCCAGAGACGCATTTGTTATTCAGAACGGTTCTCCGAACACCTGTTTGCACTGGTACAGTTCGGCACCGGATAAAAATCAATAATCAGTATTTTTCGTAAACATTTGCAGCTGTGTGCGTTTGTCCCGATCAGCTGGCCACACCCGCCATGTCCGCTTGGCTACATTACACACATACAGATATTCACCCCTTGTATTTACCTTCATATATATGTCACAACACAAACATCGATTATGTAGGGCGAAATGCCCCTCATTATATAGCAGCGATCGTTTTAGATATTCAATCTACTGTCCACTAATTTTTGCTACAAAAAGGTGTTATAACTCTGTTTTACCACAACAGATAGTGTGTATGTCTACACTATTATATGTATATACAATAATTACGTGCCCAAGGATTTTGCAAGTTACAAAGTTACAAATGTTTGTGCTCGATTAGTGATCGTTGATCAAATATTATGCAGGCGTTAATATCGCGTTTTGTATGTAATTCATCAGCTGAATTTCACGTAATCTGCGATCAAACATTGCCCGACCAGTTTGATGGAAACCTGTTGGCTCCACATTTACCGTTATAATCATAACTCGAGTAATCATACAAACGTGTCGGTGTTCTGATAATACGTGTCCACATTTCTTGCTTGCAAGCGTTGCCGAGATAAACGTTATCATACGTTCACGAATATCACGAGTCGCTCACTCGAATGGTCGCGTTCTATTTTCGAACTTCCCGATACATTGAGTTACCCGACTCCTGAGACAGCCGCCACGCTATGTTAGCAGTTATTTACGTCAATACGTATCGTCACATCAACAGAGTTCAAACAGTAATGCTCGTGTAATATTTATTGCAATACAAGCCAATGTCAGTGCGATTTTGCACCACAGTTGCAATAGCTGTATAGAGAATGTACGTAAAGAGTGCAAACATAATCAAAACCTGGACACGTATTATTTGACCTACTACACTCGGCTTCGTATAGTTTCAAGTTTTCTTCCGGTTCTTACACAACATATTATATTTTACATTGTATTTTTTTCCTTTAGTTATTTTGAAAAGAAGTGGGGATCAGTTAAGTGATTTATATGGAAAAGGTAATATTGATTAATAGTAAATTTTTTTTTTATACAACTTAGAATGTCAAACAAGGTGACGGTCCACCTTATGGAAAGTGGTAACCGTCGCCTATAGACATGTGCAGTACCATGGACATAACAGAGTATACTGTTTCGCCCATGATACCCCCCATACGTTGCCATTCCTGAGGACTCAGGTGTTATTCCTCTGTACCCAGCAATTTCACGCCATATCCCACTCTTCAAACCAAAACATAGCTATGCAAACACAACTGCTTCACGGTTGAAACACGAATGGGACAGAGGTACCCAAGCAATCGACTTTTGTACAAAGTCTCCCTCTGGTAATGTACATGTACATCATACCATTTCATTTGAACACAGGATGCGTTTGCATTAGTGAAATGTTTGAATAAAAACCATAGAAAACCTTCAGCCACTCACTGACCGACAAATCTTGACCTACAACTTGATGATTTGGCTTTTAAGTCTATAAATTTAAATAGCTTTTTATTTCTTATTGTTATTTCGCAACTTGACCGTAGTGGAATCACCTAGTGTGTAACGATACATAGTTACCTTGATTTTTATAACATGTTAGATATGCTCATATTTATACAAGTAATCTTTGATGTATAATATTCTAGATGTACAATCAATATCTAAAAATTACACTTAAAATAGAGCGCATTTAAATTTAGTTGCGCTCATTTTTAACCATTCAGCGACATTTATAATCAAAGGTGTTGAAATATATTTACAATTTTGTTACAAATTTTATAAAAATATATCACGTCTAGACGTCTAGTTACTTATTTACGGTAAGTATTCGCCTCTAATCTCTCCATGTTCAATTTATATATATATATATATATTTTGTAATTTGAATTCGGAACAGTTTTAAACGTAAATTTTATATTCGTGAATCTTGGATCCTTTGTCTATCAATGTAATTGTTACATAAAGAGAGATAGTTCTGATATTTGTTAAATACCTAATGTGACCCAATTTCTACGCAATATAATCATTTCAAGAGTGTAAATATCAAACTTCGATCAGATAGTTGTCATATCGGTCACTTTATCGCGTTCGAGTGATTTCTTTTTTATATATCTGCGTTACATTTTCCTTTATTTGATATATTTAAACCAGGTCGACTTCCGTAATAAATCATGTGTGTTTAAAAACTATTGTATTGCGTGAATAATAATTGTTATCTTACCCAATTCTCTGCTAGTCAGATTGTACCGTTGCTCATACATATCTATGTTTATAAATGTAAAAGTCTGCCTGTCTGTCTGCTTGGCTTTCATGGTTGAATGGCGTAAAAGATTTTAATTGTTTAAGATTTGATATTAAAGATTATATCGGGGGAACATAAAAAGAATTGAGAACGTCAAGAAGTTGTCTCAATTATGTTTTTGTGTGAACAAAATACACGAGTGTCACATAGAGAGAACTCGAAATAAAACCTTATAGCAAACTGCCTGGCAAGAGTGGGATTAGTAGGCTATATTATCTTATAGGGAAAGGGAGAACTATATACCATCATTAATGATATATTAATGGGTTGTTAATGAGAATAAAACAATTTATTCTTATGGTATAATAAAATGGCATTAGATACAGCGTCAAATTAAACAGATTTCATTTTAGATAACTAATATAAGTAGTATAATACATTTTTTAAATACATGTTATACGTAGAAACACATATTGCCGTGTGGTCCCGGCATAGAATGGGCCACCTCTTTCTTTCCCGTGGGTGTCGTAAGAGGCGACTAATGAAATTTAATAGTCGAGGGATGGGCAGCAGCGACCCTCTTAAAACATCACCAGAGCCTAACTGCGGGTGCCAATCCACCTGCTAAACGTGGTAACAACTGGCAAAACTCCCCTTTTGGGGGAGGTTTCTGTTCAGCAGTGGACAATAGACGGCTGATATGATATATGTAGAAAACATCCAGACTGTTATAAACAGGTATAATTACGAATATAAATCTTTGTTTTACGCGGGGATTGAACCCGTGACCATTGGAAGATGAGGCGGTAACCTCTAATATTAATGAATGTATCGTTTATAGATCAGACATTTTTAGTACGCGTAGAGTACACATTCATGACCTTGCTTTTGCATATTGGTCGTAAGCGTCATTATTTAGCGGCTAATAAGGAAATTTATCAGAACATTATTAATTGTACCTAACGTTCCGATAACAGCTACCTATGATAACGCAAGTACGAATATTAACGGAAGTATTGGACAAGATTCAAACTGCGTGTCTATTGCACTGCCTCACATTCGTGGGTTTGATGCCCGTACAATATGAACATTTTAATGAAACATTTGTTTTCTTTTTTTTTTTGATGGGTGATGGTATGGTAACCCCGCCTGCGCTAACGGGATACGCTTGCGGAGCACCAGTGAAGGGTGATCGATGAAAATGAAAACAGGCCAGTTAGCCCATCATGATGAATTCATGAGGAATTAATCATGATAGTTTCCAGGGAGAACCGCGAGGAGGTCGACCTGGTTGGGTATATTGCTAGCAATGGGATTCTCAGTCTCCATTACTAACAATCCCTTTCCCCCCTGAAACATTTGGTTCTTATGTATGCTATGTATTAAAAAATAACTATTAAAGTATTTCTACCGATTTTCTAGTACTCAGAAACTTTGCTTAGATTGGGGCTAGATGACGCTGTCCAATATTCAGTGTTATTTATTAGAGACTACAGTATAGGATTCTTTAAAAAGGGAGGGTATATTGAGGTTCCTTCAGGGTTGACAACGCGCACGTGACACCGCGTGTTGCAGGCGTCCATAGGCTACAATGACCGTTTACTATCAGACGGGCTGCAATGCTTGTTTGCTTGCTACTTTTTATGGTATAAAAAAAATTATTAATTTTATTCGTGTGATCAGGATGTGTTGATTGATCTAGATGAAAAGTAGCCTACATTCTTCTCCATTCCAAAAACTACATGCATATATAAAATTTGATGACCATAGGTTAAGGTGTCAGAAGATAAACAAGTATATTTCATATTTATAATATTAGTATTGGATTTATTTAATTGGCATCTCATTACCTTTCTTAATGCCACTTATTCAGTCACTATCTGACCATTAATACTTAATCAGACACGTGATCTTATTGATTTTAATGCCCACTGCGCTGTTACACGCCTGGGAATGTATTTAAATAGCTTGAGAGAGAGAGAGAAAGAATGTTTTCTTTTCCTTATAAATGGTTTTTTTTTTTTTAATTGGTAACAATAGATTGTTAACCCTACATGCTTTATCTGTATACATAGCGAGTCACCAGAGAGAGATGATAAGTGAGGATGATACTAGAATTAATCACTTCCAGGTGAAACCCTTTGGAGGTCGATCTAACAAGGTATATTACTAGAAATGAAGCTGTTACCTCCCATTACTAACAACCCCTATATAAATGGCTACTTGTATACTGTTATAATTATATATTTCCGTAGTCGCCTCTCTTTATCCTATATCCTGGTATATATCCATGATATTCTGAGGATGAGGAGTATTGCTGGTGACATGTTGTTTTCTTAATCTGACATCACATAGGTTCCTATAACAGGTTATAAGCTTGCAGCCAAGAAGACAAGAAGCTGGTTAAGGCATCGCGACTGTAAAATTATATTCCTTACTAGTATGTTTGCTGCCAAATAGTTGAGCTTCCGTAACTTTTGTTTTGGTTTAAAGAGTGTGGAATAGCAATGCATGTAA